AGCTTTCATCTTCATGCCATAAGATAATACACATGCATACATTTCGCATTCCATCGCAGAACGTTTTAAATCAATAGTTAGACATTTACTAAGCCCGACGTCAGTCTAAAAGTGCATTTTTGAGAAAATGTGGAACGCAAATGAATCTACATATAAGCTGCTCGAGTTAAACAAAAATTCTTTTCTCCAAAAAGCAAAGTTTTGCCATAAAATCTGGAGCTTATGATATTGCTTCTTCTTTTATTTTTCTATAAATACATTTAAATATTGTTCCAATTAGAAAGTCTGTCTACACGCTTTTATGCAGCTAGTGTATTACTTTGAGATTGCTAAAAAGATAAAACATATGAGCTACTTCATAAATTAAAATTTCGTAAACTGTTAATAAAAAGGAACTAATACTGGTTACTTAGATTTTAAATATAACGGTGTTTGACCTAAGCTTATTTTCCTGGAAATTTTCAAAAGTTCATATCATCCCTTCCAAAAATATACAAAGAATGGCTGAAGTTTAGGAGTGAGAATCCTTAAAAATAAATTGAACTCTTGCTAGGAATAAGCATAGCATCTTCGGTGTTCATCCCAACAGGTTCACTGTTGCACTACAATACATCACGAGAGAAAATATATTCATTTCCTTCCATTATCACTGATTACTTTCTCATCACGGATAGCACCACCTTCTTTGTCACTCTGAGATTCATTCGCTAACGATGTCAGATCGAAAAGCTCACATTCGAAGGTTAAGTTGGGTTAGGTTAATTGGATACAGTAAAACACATGAGGGTTATCTGCCTAAGGAGAGAGATACATTTGTAGAGAATTCTATAAGGGAAACTCGCTCGTATTCACATTGCACATGGGGAAAACTTCGAAAAGAAACCATGCAGCCAGCAGTGGAATTAAACCCGACTCAGAATCCTGCGGCCTTAACTCCTCGGACACTGGTGGTGCTTGGCATTTGAAAAAGGACATTATTGTTATCACTAGTTGACTTAGGTATATCAAATAATTCGCATTTCCTTTATTCATATACAATATCTTAACGAGCGAAACAAGGTTCTTAAAAATTATCTTGCTTTATGAATGAAACTCGTTCACTCTGTTTACTAAGTATTTACATTACACTGAATCGCTCATGTGTGTTTATGGTTTTAGTCGCGATTTTCATGGACGATAAAACTATACAATAAAATGCATTGGTATACTTATGATATCATCAAAACTAATGCTAACAGTTGCGTTACAAATCCTAGTAGAAATTTCATAATGATAATAATTTAAACATTTTTGCACTCTTTTATTTTGAGTATTTTAATTTATATTTTCTTTATCATTCTTTTTAAACCTTTTTAACTTTTCCATATATATATACATATATAGGGTGTTACCGAATTCGATCGACAAATCCAGAGGGAATCAAGAGGATGAAAAATTGCCATAGGACACGGGGTCTCAAACCTTTTTCGGTGGGAGAAATCGCAAAAATAATGGGTGTGACGTCGAGTGAAACAAAAAGGACCAATAAATAGAAAAGCATTTATTTTATATAAAGTAGGATTGCAATGCATCACAGTTCGATATCAGAAGAGAGATGACAAGACGTTTTATAGGGACTGTTCGAAGTTGCATCCGTGAAAGTCATTGCACAGTCGACACCGACGGTTTTAAACATACCCGATGGCTAGTAATGTCTGCTAAAGCGATGACGATCCTTTTGTGCTATCAAATCCTCTCGTGTATCTACGATGCTCTGATAAACAACCAATTCCAGATGGTCCCGCAAGAAGAAATCCAAGGGATTGAGGTCTGGAAGCAAGCAAAAGATCCGTCGCGTCTAATCCATTTTCCAGAATATATAGCACTGAGGTGGTTACGCTTTGCAATCATAGAACGTGCTGGTCCACCATCATGCATGAACTACATGTTCTGGCACACAGTGACTGGTATTCCTAGCATCAAATCCGGGAGAGCGTACTTTAGAGAAACATAGTAATTGGCACCATTGAAGCATTCAGGCAGAAGGTACGGTCTCAACAGGTGATCTCCGAGAATCCCTGACCGTAGGTTTATACCGAACTTGCTTTGCACTTTCGACAAGACAGTGCTATGGGGATTTTTTGGATGACCACGTTTTCTCATTGTGTGTGTTAACCACGCCTTCTCTCGTTAACCAAGCTTCATCTGAGAACAAAATAACGGCGGGAACTTGTAAATCATTATGTGTGGCATCAAGCATCCAGCCTACGAACTCTACCCCGAAGGGTTTAATCGCCATCGCTTTGGAGGTGGACCTTCTGCACATGGAATAGATGCATGTTTTCTACAGCCAGATCCATTCACACCATTTCTTGCCGAATACTCAGTTTAGCTGCTAACGATCGTCTACTGGACGACGGGGAAACGGCGAACCTTTGCAATATTTATATAACAATATATAACCTTTAATTTTCGCGATTTTCACCAATTAAACGTGATTTACGACTGCATGTTCTGTTGTTATTTTTCATCCTGTTCTATTTTTCATCCTGTAACAATCCCCTCTGAATGTGTCGTTCGAATTTGGCTATATGTATATAGTATATATAATCAAGAGATAAAAATTAAATCACAAATTAAATCAAGAAGGGGGTTAACCTTTTAACCGGAAATACATACATTAAAACTGAAACAAAAACAATTCAATGAAATAATATAATTAATATAAAAACATTTGTTGAAAATTTCTTGGCCTTTCTGAAGGAACAGCAGAAGAATTTTCAGCCCAGTTACATTTCTGAATTTATCAAAAATTGGCAATCATCCGGATATAATTCAGAAACGTTCTTCTATTGTAAAGTTCTCGGCTGCTCCTTGAAAAAGACCAACGAATTTTAAGCAACATTTTGATATAACTTTTATAAATGTTATATTAGCTATATTCATTTTATATTATAGAACTGTTTTTGTTTCAGTTTTAATGTGTGTACTTCTGGTTAGACGGTTGACTTTTCCCTTAATTTGTGATTTAATCATTATATCTCGATTATTTAATTAAATTCGGGACATAGTGCTAGATATTCATTATATATTAATTTAATATGAAATTTCTAAACTTTTGCTTATATATATACTATATATATATATAGAGAGAGAGAGAAGTCATAAATTTCGAAACGTTTCACCTTTCCTTACTTTGATAAAATTTTTGTTCTCAGTTAATAATTCATTTCTAAATATGACTTGAGTTCTTTCTCTAGATTTTGTAAATTATTAGGTTTAAATTGAATTTTAATACACTGACTACCAATAAGTATTTGGACACCTGTGATAGAAAAGGAAAACTAACTGTATTCAAAATCAATATTTGGTAGAGCCTCCACGAGAAGTAGTTACAGCGTGGACCCTCCGGGGCATACTTTCCAAATGTCTTTGTATGACAGCTAGTGGTATTTTCTTCCACTCGACTTAGAGAAGACATAGAAGTTCCTCCACCGATTTTGCACGGGTAGTACACCCTGAATTCGGCGATACTACTCGTCCCAGAGGTTCTCGATAGGGTTCAGGTCTGGACTCTGGGCAGGCCAGTCCATTCGATGAACTCCATTGGCACCATACTAAGCCTTGGTTAACGTCGAAACATGGCAACTGACATTGTCGTCCTGAAAGTAACAAGGGTCCAACCCGTAAAACTGCCACAACGTAGGAAGCACATTGTCATCCAAAATAGTGCAGTAGGCATCGGAGTTGAGCTTACTATGGATGGGGACTAAGGGTCCCAGCCCGTACCAGGAGAAACACCCCCAGACCATAATTCCACCTCCGCCGAACTTGACCGTTGGCACAATGCATTCTGGCAGGAGACGTTCTCCAGGTAGACACCACACCCAGTCCCTGCCATCCGAACCGTAAAGGGTGAACCTTGATTCGTCACTCCAAGGAACCTGTTTCCACTGATCTCCGGTCCAATTTCGATGTGCTTTGCATCACATTAACCGAGCAGCGCGGTTAGACTTGGTGATCAAAGGCTTATGGCAGCAGCACGACCATGAAAGCTAAGCAGATGTGCTTCCTTACAGATGGTATTCATTGAAACAATACTCCCGGATGCCTGTTGAAACTCCTCGCGGATGAGGGCCATCGGTTGGGTTTCGGTTCTTCCGAATTTCTGGACAGCCTCTTCGGTCTCTATTCCCAGTTTCGTTGTCTGCCGACTCGGGGCACTTTCCACAATCCGTCACCTTCCACTTCTTAATCACATAGGAGACTGTTGATTTTGGGTACTTCAGATCGCTAGATATGTCCCTAAGGATCGGCCACATTTGTGATACCCGATAATTATACCTTTCTCGAAATCAGAGAGCTCCGAACTGCGAGGCATCTGCATGCGACTGAACCGAGCTGTTCCTACACGATATATACCGGCGGAGTCCATGACGACCTTAGACCGCTGATATCGTCATTTGCATAGGTGTCCAAATACTTATTGGTAGTCAGTGTATTAGCAAATTATATATATTACTTTTACTAGGTAAACCGAATTTATTTTATTTAAATTTATATTTTTACATTATTATTTCACATGAAATAGGAAAGCGACTGTGTAGAGGGGACTTTCGGAATGAGCCATAATAATTAAATAATTTAAAATGTTTCATCAGCTAATTTTGGATGAACAAAAACGCAGTGGTTTTCCTAGGAAATTGAAAGGAAATGGAGTTCAATTGAGATCAGATATACGTCCTGTTGATAACGTTAAATCAAATTTTGATTGTATTCTTTTTATATATATATATTTGCATGCATTTCTGTTGGCTTTCGGGATTTCTTCTGGTTTAAAAAGACTGAGTTGATAAGGTTCTTTTACCTTTTTTTATTGGAAATGTATTAATTATACTGTTTTAAATTTCCTTTCTTTCATGTCTTTGTGGTATTAGTTCGAAATGTATTACTTTTTGTCTATGATTAATTAATTTTTCAACAGCATTTTACGTAGAAATGATATGCTTTTATATTTTCAGATGTGATTGTTATTGTGGCGTCCGTCGTAGTTCTGTCTGTGGGAAGCAGTGGTCAGATGTTCGCAGCCTCTGCTCTAAGGGGTCTGCGCTTCTTCCAGATCTTGCGCATGGTGCGTATGGATCGGAGGGGTGGAACTTGGAAACTGCTTGGCTCCGTCGTTTATGCGCACAGACAGGTGACTATTTTCTCCCATTCCCTTTAATGATGACGATTTTTTGACTATTTAGAGGGACTATTATTTATTTTTTGACTATTATTTAATAAAACATTATCAAATTAGACTTTCAACAAATACAGAAATCATATAATAATCATAAATAAGCATCTATGGAGCAAACAACTTGTCCTGTGAATAATCAGTAGTTGTATTTAAATGCTAAATCTGTTATTTAAATTTCTTCTCTGTCCTAATTCAGTCTATTGAAATTACTTTGTATAAACTCTTCGCTAAGACTAACTTGACGCTTTTGAAATGAAAAATTGTGTTTGGCACATCTTTACCTAAGATTCCTCTACATATAAATCTCAAGTACGTTATTTCTAGTGCCATAATATTCAAAATGTTTCCGCTGTGAAAGCTGTTTGAAAGATTGCCTGTTCTGATTCATCAGATTGAGCAACAATACAGTTTCGAAAGCAACTTTTCATTTGTAACTTCAGAAGTTGCTACTAATGGTAATTTGCATTAGCCAATTCCATTAATCAGAATCCCGAAACATACGTTATAAATTAGCTTTATTTGAAACCTGACAGTAGCCATGTTTATCAAAAACCATGAAGAATAGTCAAAGATTTCATCATTTCAGTTTTCAGATCCGTTTTTGATTGGTGAAATACTGTATATTTCTTAAAACTCCGATAATAAATTTTCTTTCTTTGTTTCCAGTAGCAAATGCATGCGCTTTTTATATGTAGTTTAACGACAGTCTTGTCTCCAACAATTTTGGGCAGTCTTGTCTCCAACTTGGCAGTTAAAAATAGTTTTAGAGAAAATGAAAAGTTTAAAGTAAAGGAATACAGTGGAGTTAGGAAAGGCATATTTACCTAAATCAAAGGAAGTGTATTTTCATGGCAATTGGATCACATTTAACAAAGCCATTGCTTGATGTAAAAATTATTGGTGCCTGTTTTTAACTCGTTGTGTGACAAATAATATTTCTGATATATTGTAGGGTATTGATGATTTCACGTAATGACATGTTTTCTAAAACTTGAATTTCTACTAGATTTCACTAAGAAAACGATGTATCTCTGTAATTTAAAGCTGAATTTAAATTTCCTAAAATGAAATATAAAAGATATCTTATTATCCAGTGCATCGCTACTTAGTAACAGAATCCAATAAATTTCGGGTATTCAGATTGATAATGGATCATGTTTTGACAGAATGGTCTTTTTTTTAAATAAGTGTAGTAGATTTCTGCATGTTAATGGCAGTGTGTCTTTCACTGAAGCAGCCTCCAAAATGAAGGTAAATATTGACGCAATTGACGATGTGTAGATAGCTAAGTTTGTAAAGGATTTGCAGTATTATCAGTGAAAGAAGTTGGATTTTGCAACCATGTGCTATGCATTGCATTTATGCCATACCATACATCTCGTTCTGATTTTATACAAAGTGTCTCAGGGAAACAATAATGTAACAATTTTACATGGGATATTCGAAAGATTAGAAGAAACAAAATGTTCGAGTAGTTTTAGTACACGGCTTTGTTCAAGAGTTAACAATTCGGTACCATTGCCAGTTCTATCTATCTGTAAGATAGCGACATTTAGATTTCGTCTTATAGGACGACGTAAGAAAATTCAATGTAATGTCACTTTCCTGGCATACCCTGCATTTTGATTTCATGAGCATGACATTTCGCTTTTTTATTCTCAGCAAATGTCATTCTCAGAGTACTTGACTTAAGAAATGTATCATTTTACAATATTCGAAATAATGTGTTTCCTGAGAATGACTTTTGCTATTGATATACAGGAATTAAGTTCATACTTTATTTTCTGTGTTAAAATAATTACATAATTAAGAGTTGCAAAATTTAAAACAGCCTTAAATTGACACTAAAACGAACTAATTAAGGTATACCATGAATTTTACTTTTGAAATCGGATTTAGAATTTCAATTCGTGCATGTTTTTACCATTTATTTTTCTATATTAGATAATATGCCATGTATATACGTTTATCAATAGATGAACATTATTAGTGTCTTACGTTAAATATATATGTGAACAGTGAACATTTATAGTTTTCAAATGAAAGACTATATGTATTATTTTTCATGATTGATTAATTTGATTTGTTTTTCTCTCTTTCCCACAGGAACTAATTACTACTTTGTACATTGGTTTCCTCGGCCTCATTTTCTCTTCGTTTCTCGTCTTCTTAGCTGAAAAAGAATCGAATTCAGAACATTTCAGCAATTTTGCTGATGCCTTGTGGTGGGGTGTGGTAAGTAGAAATTCTAGAAATATTATAGCGTTTTTCGATCAACTTTTCCCGAACAGTGCTTAAATCTAATTGTGTAGTAAATATTCATAATCTAATGCAAATAAATCTCTTAAAATGTACTTATTATAAATCTCCAATTTGACACAGTTAAAACTAAATCGGATGACTAATTATAAAAACGTTCAAAGGGTACTTTTCAGGAAGAAATTTCTAACGGAAATTTGCTGTTTCTTAGATCGTAAAATAACGAAAAATCCCAAAATTATTGCCTTTTCAAGAATTGAACGCAGGCTAAGCTATTGATATTTCCTCTGCTTCAGCCTGTCAAACATTGGCGGATCTTCGTAGATATGGATAATATCCCTAGAACTGAATCTGTATCCAAATGAAATGGAAACCATCAGCAGAATACGTAGCTATAACCATAACCTTAATAAACTGGCTGCCGTAAATATTACACAGTGGTCTTTAGTAGTATTTATGACTGAGAGTTTGAGATTCTCTGTTTCTCAATGCTTGTTTTAGTATTTTCTCTAAATGTAACTCCTTAACAGAGGTTTAAATTTTGTAGAATGCCATAACGGAAATATCCATGCATCTAGTTTGATTTGACTTAAATGGTGCTGCCTTTTTATATATACCTGAAAATAATATGCATTCAAAAGCCAAGCAAAGTAGAAATGTAATATAAGAGGAAATAAACAAGGATATTTGGTTTCGCAGATTCTTTCAAGAGATCAGCTGCAACATTAGCGGCAAATATGATATTTTGAATAGCAGATACGGAATCCTATAGGGTAGCCACATATATTTATTACGACTGAACTTGATTACTTGTTAGGAGGAACTACTGTTCATAGAAAAGATTTATGTGTAATAAATTTTGTCTTTAAAACTAGGGATTTCTTTTCATCGTAAATCGAATCTAAAAACTGCTTTGGTTATTTCATGCTTATCGGAATTTTCCTTACTCACTTAAAAAATTAATTTTTATAAAGTCAGCGCGTAGTATTTAACTAACATTTTCATTAAATGATCATTGTGGTTCTGTTTCGATTGCCATTTTCAGAAATAATTATATGTGTTTATTGACATTAATTTTATTATCCACTAAGAGAAGTTTTAAAGGCTTAACTGCTGTAAGAATAAGTTAGTGTTACAATTTGTGGTTCTTTGGAAAATTACATTACCTGCGAAAAGTGCAGTTTGGGGGAAGGGAGGATGACCCCGCGTTCAGCTCGCTTTGCCGTCGTTACCTGATAAGATATTTCTCCCACTTGCCTAGCATGCCTTCGTGGTATAACGGTAGCACGTTGGGCCGGTATTCCAGAGGTCCGTGGTTCGATTCCCGGCGAAAGTGGTTGCACATTTTTCATCTTCTCTGCTTCCAATTAACATAATGACTCTACAAGTGGCGCCCGAACTGAAAAAAATAGGGTTGTGGATGATGATTCTCCGCACCCAGGATTTGGCGACTAGGTCACCTAAAACTCTAGTCGCTCTTTAAAAAGGGGAGTATATAAGGTATTTCTCCCACTTCCCTAGCGTGCCTTCGTGTTGTAACGGTAGCACGCTGGGCCGGTATTCCAGAGGTCCGTGGTTCGATTCCCGGCCAAGGCGGTTGCACATTTTTCATCTTTTCTGCTTCCAATTAACCTAATGACTCTACAACCTTTTGTTGCCATCTCTTAGTAAGTAAGGTAGTTAGTAAGACGTCCTTAAAGGTATAAAGCACTACCGAAGCGCAAACTGAGATCTGTGGCACAGAAACCAAACGTCATACAATCAAGACACAAGAGCATTTCAGTTTTCGCTAATGATATTTAGATCTGCTTTCAGATGTGAACTTAAAAAGGTCACCGAGACTCTCCAAGGCATGTACACTGCAGAAAAAAAGGGGGGCAGTTCTATATCTCTCGTTCTACTGGGCCGATTGACGAAATTTAACTTCCGTTTTTCATGTCTCGAAACCGCGACTTGAGATATGAATTAGATTTATATATAGCATTGTTCTAATATAGGTATTTCGACACAAAATTTGATTTTTTCTGAAATAACATACGAATTGTTTTCCATATTTTGATTCTACGACTCAAATTACGCCAAACTACCAAACTACTAATTGAGTTTGATATATATTTATTAATCTCTATTTTTTTATTAAACTTATTTGATTCTACCTTTTACATATCGAAATTCAGGTTCATTCCAAATAAAATTCAGTCATTTTTTATGATTTTTTTTAATTTGTATTTTTAAATAATTTTTACAAATTTTTAAAAAATAATTTTGAATTATAATCTATAATATTTTCACCATCATTTTAAAGTAGGCGTATTTCTAAAGGATACCTGCAAAAAATTTGTTTTTATTCAAAAACTTCCGAAGATATATGTGAATTTATATACTGACACGTTTTAAAATTGGGTATGTTTGTTGAAAGCGATAAAACACCAAATGTGGCTTAGACACTTTGCTAAAATTACTTGAAAGTAAGAACGATGGGACTTTTTTCCTGCTAATGTACAGTGTAAAAATGTAGGAACGAGGTGCCATTTTTCCCGCTCCGGCATAATGGAAGGAAAAGGAAAATTAGTTGCCATATATTAAGAAATGCACCAAGTGAATTATTCTTGGCGCAAACTGAAAACATTCCGCCAAGATAAATTTCTGAATTTCTCCGTAAATTTCGCCCCAAATTTTATAAAATTTTTTCCCTAGGCATGAATTGAGTCGTAGAATTGAAATACGGAAAAAATTGGTATGTTATTTCAGAAAATGTCCGATTTTATGCCAAAATACCTATGTTAGAACAGTGCTGTATATAAATCTAATATATAACCTAAGTCGCGCTTTCGAGACATGAAAAATCCAATTTGAATGCTTTCAATCGGCCCCGTAGAACGAGAGATATAAAACTGTCCCCCTTCCTCCTTTTTTTTTTTTTTTTTTTTTTTTTTTTTTTTGAGCAGTGTACAAAATCTGTATGCAAACATTCTGATTAAAATGGTCTAAATGCTGCAATTTAGTTTAAATATCACGCTGAATAACAATCAAAAATAAATTCGAACACTAAGAATCAGAGTAATTTTTTTAAAAAATTTTGCAGAATTTTTTTTTGATTGCTGCGATTTAGTTCGTAAATAATTTGAGATAAACTTCAAAATTCAAATTTAAATGAACGCCGTCTGCCACCTGGAAATTTGTACATAAAGATAAAAGCTAAATAAATAAATATTTTAAAATAAAATTTGTTTCGTCGATTTTTTAATGGCAAAGTAAATGAGAGCTATCTACCTAATGGGAGGGCTGCCTTCGTGGAAGACTTTCTAATAAACTAAAATTTAATTAATATATACGTACAGAGACAGCAATTTTTCTCTTTTTTCTAATTTTCTATCGAATGATACTTAAATCTGCGAATGCTGCTGATTTCTGTTAAAGCATTTTTAAAAATTTCTTACTTGCTATATCCGTAATACATTTTTGATAGTGCTCTTAAAAATACAAGATAAGAATTGCAACTTTGTTACCTAAAGTAGCCAAAATCAGTAGTAGTTAATACTAAAAAATCCACTTCTAGTTACCTGATTATGAAATGAAAGTAAATATTTTCAACTGATTTTTCTGTTTGCAGTTAAGAGTACAAATGTCTAATAAGTTACATCGAATAAACGTAAAATAAATATTACGGTAAACTTCATCATACCCTTCAATGACTTTAGAACTTATCTTCGTTCTGTCGAATAAATCTGTTTAAATTTAGAGGAACGGTAACAGTATTAGAATCCGAGAGTCTCTCAATTGCTGGAAGAAGGTTTATTCTGCAAGATTTATTCCGAATTCTTAGATCGAGAGTATTCTAAAGATTAAAATGAAATTAACTTGAGACGCTGTGCGGGTTATTTAAAAGATACTGGCTATTCTGAATTTAATGAAATGAAGGGCAACCAGATGTTAACGTTTATATCTTCTCACCATGAGTGTAACATTCTGGAGGAAACGTTTAAATTTAAATATTAATTAACTTTTGAAAGAATATGCATTCTTTTTGAGCTATTGATTTTATAGAAATGTTTGTTAGTAGAATTAAAATGTAAACAATATTCTCAACCTATCGATATTCTTAACTGGAAATATTTGTAAAAGAAGGACCTAATTTCGTTATCCTTCAGATTTTATGAAATAACTGAGTTTATTTACTACTTCACTGGAAAGCTCAGAAATTAAAAGTTTTAAATAAGCACTCGGCAGTTAATTAATGACTTTCCGAGTGCCTTTCATAATGTTTAGTCTCTATTATCTCAACGTATTGTAGTTATTGAGGAATATGATTTTCAATAACCTTTTTACCAATTTCTCTGTGATATGAAACTCATCTCCGTCTGAGCTTTTGATATAAACGAAGTTCGTGGAGCAACCTGCAAACTTTAAATATCTCGTAAAATGTACGCGTGAATGTAGGAAGCACCTTCTTTTTATGTTTAAGTTACTCTAGAAAAAACAACATCCTGTTAGATATACAGTAGTATAGTCATTCCTTCATCATTAATTTTAAATTAAAAAGTATCGTTTCCGTTTAAAAATATTGTATATTTTTCCTGTTTTCTTTAACACTCTTGTCCAGTTTTTCAAAATCATAAAGACATGACAGTGTACTATCACCATTTTGAATTACTCACTTCGTTGTTCTGCTGAAGAATGTAGTGGATTGGAAATATTTAATTTAAATAATATTTCGCCTGACTAATTATAATCAGCTATTCATTCCTTTCTTCAGTTTTTAGTAGCTCTCAGCATAAATTCATATCTAATGTCCTATTCCTATATGAATCGAATTCAGTACTCCTAAATGAATGTAGAACTTTTCTACATCTTTGGATGGACTAACTGTCAAATTCATATGCGAATGTTCAAACATTGCCGTCAAGAGCCCCCCCCCCGTTTAACAATACGAGTACAATATGCTATTTTACTATTTTCTCTTTCTATCTCCACCG